CTGCGGAACGCCATCGGTCGATCATCATTGAAATGAATCACGCCGCATTGGACGCTTCGTCGATACTCGTATCGGCGTTGGCTCAAGCTATAAATTCAGCTCGTAAATTAAAACTAGTCGTCTTTCTGCCCCGTCGCGGAACTTTATCTCTTGCGCGATAACGTAGAGCTAACGTTATTCTGGATGCAATTAATGCGAATAGGATTAACAGTCACGTCTGTGATATACTGTGTGCATTTTAAGAAAGCAATTCTTCAATCTTCTTATTTTTTTAATTATCTAAGCGCTTGCGATTTTTGGAAACTTTTTCATTCGCAGAATCCCAAGAATTTTAGAAACAGTGGCACGGGATCTGATTACAACGGAAGATTTTATACCGTCCGAATGAAGAATTCTGCATTTGCCTATATCGTTGGTATATTGGCTTCGTCAAGTTCTTGCTTCCTTTGTTCGCAAATACGTTCCCTCCCTCGCTCTCAAGTACTACTTACACGATTAATGCAAATACAAAAAACGAGTATCCATAGAATATATTCAATATTTGTATTCTGCGAGGGACTTATTAAAATTCAGCTCCGCCCCAAGAGCTATAGTACACGTGCGATAACACTCGCAGTACTGGTCTGTGAGTTTATTACGATGGAAACTGCTCATAAAGAAAATGATCATAAAAAGTTAAGGTGAGGCTATTGGTCACACGTCTATGTAAAAATTAATAATGAAGAAAAATAATAGCCAGGAATTAATTTTCATTGTCATGCAATTTTTGTTATCGTACATATTAGTAAGGAGTCATGGCTTTGGTAAAGTCATGCACAAGGCGGTAATCACTCTTATCGGTAAACACGATTGTTGGAATTTCAAAACGACTACAAGATGGTGATAATTACAAAATTATTGCTGAACGAGACAAACGATATCGCAGCTGTTGGCTGTTGCAGTAAATATTCGATTTTTTATAGATATACTAGAGTTCCATGATATAAACTGATTCGTTACAAGATATACGTATACATATATACGTTTGCCAATGAGACGATTTAGGGACAGGAAAAATCAAGGGGCATTCACAATAGCAAGCTAATTTTTTTTTTGTTTAAAAAAGACTACCTTGGGAAATCACAGCATTTGAGTTCTGACTTAATCCAACCTAATGAAACATTTCTAAGCCCATCACAGATACTGAGTGCCTAACATTGAAAAAAAATATAAATAAATTTGGTGAAACAGTCCGCTCTATGGTTCTCAAAACAGTCATTACGCTGGAAAATCTTTGAGGACGGTCTCCAAAACAGCTACTTGTCCTCAAAATAGCGACTTCGTAAATGAAATCGTCCCCAAAGTATCCCCCAGCAAAGAATATAGGAACAAGGCATGGCAATCTGACCATCGATATAATATATTTTGCAGGGGTCTTTCTTCGATGACTTTCAAAGTAAACGAGACCCGTGACTCTTGCATTTATTTGTTGATCGACTACATAACGTTCAGATATATAAATATAGTATTGCTAGCCGATAGCCTAATTGGGTAGATGAACTTGGGCTATTAGTGACTCTACGTTTCACTTTCTAATCGTCTTGTTTTCTGTTCCTTTCTGTAGTGCTTGAACTTTGTTTTGCACGATTAAGAAGGCTAAAGTATGACGTATTAAAATATGAGCTGTTATGAATGGGCTCCTTATTAGGTATGCGTGTTGCGATGAAATAAAATAAGATTAGGAAGCAAGAAAATTGGAGAAAAAACATGAGCCATTATTGAAGGCTATGCGCTGTAAACCCCGGTGGTGCAGCGAGGTGTGTTATTGCTTATCTTTGTTATGGTAGTCACCTTTCATATACTTACAAGCATGTTGTTTTTACATTGGAATACGTGGGAACAACACGCACTTGTAAGTGTGTAAAAAGTGACTACCATAGAAGAGATTAGAAATAAAACACTTCACTGTGTGTACACTTCGATATGCAGTGTGCTTGCTTGAAGCCTTAGAAAAGAGGAAAATGCAATGTCACGATTTCAAAAATTAATTTCATTCTTGAAACTTCGAAATTCATGTTGAACGATTACGTGCCAGTCCAGTACTAATCAAAAGGGGAAAACAAACTTATTATTAATATTATTGCAGTTGTCATTGTTAACTGCCACCTAAAAATAAATCTTTTTTACATATGTTAGCCCATAGGGCTGATTCGCACTAAGAGGAAGGGAAATAATCTAAATATCATATTTTTGTAGTATTAATTAGACTTTATGCTCCCGGTGCTTATTCATTAATTGAAACGTCAAAGTGTCAATTAAAATGATTGATAGAAAAATTATAGTAATAATTATTTCGCAATCTAATTAAACACATTCGACAACTGCCTTGAACTGTCGAATTGAGTAGTCGATTATTCGTGCATCATACCTGATCATACTGCTGAAGACTCATTTCAATATTGACAAAATGCTACCGTCGTTATACAAAAATGTCAAGATGCTAAGTCGCACATGCATCGGTACTTTTGAGTTTCTACTGTCAATTAGACATAAAGCCATCAAAATGTATGAATCTCAGTGAACACAGTTAAAGAGTTTCTTTAGCAATTATATACAGAGTAAGTACTTTGGGTTTCGTTAGACAGCAAAAGAAATATTTTTTAAATTACGTTGCGCATCTTACAGCATACTTTACGAGAAGGATAATTATCCACTTGAGACGTGATTTGAACTGCTTACTTCAATACCAGCAGTACCCACAAATAATGTGGTTTTTAAGCTGTTCAATAATTTGAAAGAAAAAGACAGCATTACATATAGGTCTCTCTAATATTTTGAGATATATATTTGACTAATTTGACGCGCTCATGCGGATACAGCACAATTTCGAAATCAAAATTCGTTAGTTACATGATTTTAGTAATTTACTTTTTTAATGCTTTAGATACATGCATATTTTTAAAAATTAGATTATTCGTTATAACATATTTTTATTATAAATAATGGACAAATGAGAACATATGTTTTTCTGAGTTAAAATAGTTTAGTCTCTAAGCAGGATCAGAATGATCTTCATTATTTTTCAGTGGTCTCTTAGGTATATCCACAACAGTCTCTGTGTTCTCTGATTAGAAAAATGTTCGTGAAAGTCCCATATCAGTCTAGATATAAAGACGAGATGGGAACCATTAGGACCAAATTGATGACTTTATAGTCTTTTTGTAAGTCTGTTTCAGATTTATAAATTTCCGTATAGATCATTACAAAATCAAAAATTCCTCCTCGGTATATAATTGTACAACGTATAAACCTCTTTGTATAAAAATGTTAGATCCATCTTAGGTTTCGAGCTCTAAATTATTTCCAATAAAACTTTCCCGTCAGCGGTCGTAAAATCTAAAAAAAAATATGCACCAACTTCATTTTGACGAAGATAATATAATTCTGTTTTATTTACCATTTTTCAGGCTAAAGATTCCAGATGTCTGGTAGAAATGCTGAGTCCGTTTTTTTTAAGGTCTTTTTATCGTCTCTTTAAGTTTGCTTAACGATGGAGGGGAAAATACTTTTGCTCTTTCACCTCGCAATGAGGCCTAATTTTTTTTCCATTTACAGTGAATTCTAATAATAATTAGAGGATACCGCTGGTACCCTATCGGGGTCTCTTAGACGTAATCTAAGAAGGTCTTCGTTGCTATGTCAAAATGGCTCCCCATCAGCATGCCTTAAAAAAATGAATTCCTGTATAAAAAACCGAAGTTAAGAAGTTACGACTTTAATAATATTTACAGGAAATTATCATCTCTTAATATCTGCTCCTCGAAAGCATTTCTACGAAATGTTTAAGCAATACGAAAAAATTAAAGACACGATATTCGCCTATTCCTATTCCTCATAAATGTTGCTACGAAGAAATCCATATGATAACAAAGCACTAGACTTCTGGCAATCTTACACTTAGAGAAGTGAGCTCATAGAATATTTCCGTCCCAGATAACATACACGTATATAGCAGCATATCATCGTGTCGAATCACCCGTCCATAATCGAGAATATCAGAAACAATAGAAGCAGATAGATTATATTTCGATGAATCGAAAAATGAACTAGAAAGTCAGAGCACTAGAGAGGCTAAAGCGTTACTTCACTCAACAGGAAGGAAGTACAAATCTTTCAAGTTCGTAAAGTATGTGCAGGATACAACGGCTAATTGTCGCCGGATATATTGGCCCGAAACCGGAAACCGGTGCCTCGGGTGTTATATGTTATTTTCATTTCGCCTATTTTAAGTCTCGTAAGGCGTTCCAACACGTTGCGTTATTCCCCTCGCTTCTTCGTCGCCAACCCCCGCCCCACCATGTTAAGTGGTAACGGAGCTGTGGAGGGGTTAGGGGGAGGGGAGGAAGGGGGGGGCGCGAGTGTAGTGGGGTGACGTTCCAGCCTGCGGGCTGAACAGAGAGACAGAGAAAGAAAACAAGAATCACCGTCATCTTCTTTTGTTCGTCGATGATAGATAACTCTCACGTATTATTACAGTCGACTCTCTTTACAATCGCGCACCCGTCACTCTAAAGTGTGCTAACTAGAGAGAGAGTGCGATATTACGGAGAGAGCCACCACTACGCAGTAATAGATCGAACGTTCGACAGACCGCGAGTAACACGCGTGCTGATAGTAGGCACAGAAAGGTAGGGGAAAAAGTCTTGCCCTCTCGACGCGACGGCTTGGAAAGACAGCTCAGGGGAAACGGGACTAAGTATACGGAGTCCTTCCACATAGCCAGAGTCAACTGTACCGTTTGTGTCCCGAGTTTCCCATCGTATGTATATTTTGCCGACAATAGGGATTAGCAACGTTAAGGTTGGTTCGTATCGCGACACACGTAAGGTGAATTCGAGCGTTACTTACCGCCCTATTCACGTTAAATCTTATTACTGAATGTTATTCCGCTCTTGGTTTAAATTTCGTAATGACGTATGCCTGTTGTAAAATATATTAGTCGTATAAATGAGTAATCTTACCTGGTCAGTCATACTGTAGCCGTCGTGATATGACGTCTGGTGATGCTGTGGCACGCTCAGAGACAAGTCGAGATTGTCGCTTCTCTGCAATGCAAAGAGAAAGAGCGTTTTATTAATTTCATGTAACGGATGACGTAACGGGTCAGTTTTTGTAAGTCAAGCTGAGACAGAACGTGACGTAATAAAACATTTTCTTCGAAGGGACCTTTTTCTCTTTTGTTAAACTAGAAGTAATAATAATCTTATCTTTTTGTAACGAGCCTTTGGTAATTATCTAATATCGTGTTAGGTCCTATTGACAGATTTTAGCTGGCTACACGTATAGGACTAGTTGTTTAATGATAAAAATAAATAAAATATATATATTATACATAAATGCGGATCAAAATGTCAGAAGAAAAAATATTTAGCGTTTTCGTGATAACGGGAGCTGGCTGATTGTAGCATGCATAATTGAACATTGTTTCACGGTATCAATCACCTGGCACTGGTTATCGCATCAGATTGATTCGAATCTACGGACATGAGTCATTCACGTGCTCTCGTTCAAGAGCTCAAAAAATGGTCGGAAATTACGTAATTATCCAGCCTGTAATTAATATCTACACGAAAGTTATCGAACGAGCATCGCACAATTTACTTTACTTTCTCATGCCGTGACGCAATTGTGAAACGACTTTCACCTTTCTAATTTCGTCGCGTATTCATAATTTATGCAAAAAAAAGTGATATCGGTCAAAGATCAAAGCCAGTGCTACATTTTCGGATATCTTGAACACCGTTGCTTAGTGAAATAACGTTATAATGCACGATACGCGATAATGTCGAGACAAGGTAAATATTACATTTATATGAACTTTGGGTGTACGTAACACATCATGTATAGAGGACAACTCACGAGTGAACTGTAGAAACACATTTCTACGATTTTCCGCGAAAAAGGCCCCTGACACCCGATTTTAAGCGTGAATCGACTATACCTGTACAGGTATAACTGTTACTGCTGCGAGTCCTTCGGCACTATTCTTGAACAGTTACAATAGTGCGACAGCGAGAGAAACGCACGACACGGTAAACAGAGTGTATCGTTACGTAACTTGGCTACAGAATTAATGGTAATTGTCGAGTTAACCGATGTGCTCTCGAACGAATCTTTCCATACGAACGATTTACCGATCTATTTAGCTGCCAAGTTACACTCCAGTGTATCTCCAACGGGAGGGCCAGCGCGGGGGGTTACGAAATTGTTAAATTCAAAATGAGGTTTGGCAAAGAACGACAAGAAAAGAAATTACGAACAATAATTGAGAGTGACAATAACAAAGCTGTCGATGCATTTTACTTATCAAGTATTTTTAATCGTGATGTAGATAACGCGTATGACGATGTAGATAGCGCCAGGTTACATGGCGATGGTGGAGAGTTTACGGAATATTACGATAAAAATATCTTTTATCATTTTCAAATCGGAAGCAATCAATCACAGAAAATTAAAAGGAAATTCTCATTAGTTTCGTCTATTTCTCTTTAGTCCGCGTCACCAAGGTGGGGATTGAACCGTGATTTTTCGAAGCCATCTTGATATTCAATTGAAATATTGGTGAACGTTATCGAATTTCAAGTTGTGCCTCTGTTTTTTCAAAATAAGTACGAATACCCGGACCTCTAACTCTGCGCCTTAAACAGAGGATTAAATAAATTTGCAATGTTAATTGATTAAATTATTTTTTTTATTTACGTTTTTAACTTTGTTCGAAGAATTCCATACATACATAAGTGATAAATGTTTATTTATGATAGATCACTTTTCAATTAAGGTACGACAGGATTACAGATTGAGTTTTTCGGAATTTGCATGAAATTAGCAATTTAAGAGGCATTGGTCTTGCCGGTGCCAAATTGAAAAATAACGCGATTTGCACGAGGAAATTTACGGAACGTCTCATTTTCTGGTTAACGGTACTCGAGATATCAGAAAATGTTTGAAAGTTCTCCTGTGTACAAAATTGATGCTCGGTCATCCCATTAGATGTAAAGTACTAAGGTTTCACGCGAAATGATAATGATACGTGTCAAGACACATTACGGGAAAAAATTGCATGACACGAGTCGAGCTTAGGTCAAATCTTGTACCTCTCAAACCAGAAGCACCTAATTTTAACTTTAAACTGTCTCTTGCAATTTCACATTTCACTTTCCTAACGATTTATGATTAAATATGCAAATGGCAGGCCGAAACAAACGAACGGCTTACTATACTGACAAAGTATGGTCATAAAACTCGTATTGTTATTCATTGTGGCTGCTCCACATAAACATAAGACATCTTGATAACCAATTAATTGAATTAATTTTACGAAAGATCAGTCGGAGCGAGTTAAGAAAAAATTATAAAAGTGTCGTCACTCCTTTCCTAATTACTTACGGATTATTGGAAATGCATTAAATCTCCTGCTTTTTATTAACATCACGCTTCAACCAATCAATTCGTTGACATACAATTAGTCGCTATATAATTATACGCGAAGTTACTGTCCATCATTGTACTAGAGACATTTTTGAGGTCAATTGTATTTCAGGCGCAAAAAATTATTTGTAAAATTTGCCACTACAAAAAAAAAGCGTTTCCTAGCCTAGCTGGGGTTTTCGCTAATTAAAGTAGCTAAGTTTCACGTAAACTGACAGGTCGATACACCTACTCAGGAAAACAAATCGTTCGAGTTTGCCTCACGACTCGCAGTACTTTGCAGCAAGAGCATTTAACTTCAAGTCCAACGATTATTCATATGTCATTCCGGTGAGAATTTATTGTAAACAAATTGAAAAATATACAAATCAGACTCATCGTAAATTACGATTCACGTCGTGTTACGGTTAACAAACGACTTACCGCGCGAGTTCATAAATATTTCGTTAAGTAGAAACATAGTCGAACGCACTGCCGGTGGCGTAGACCTCAAGCACATAAGAATTCGGAGATTGTGCGTTGAAAATGAAAAATTCATGTCTCCGTCTGTAACTCGTCGGGTAATATTGGGTTGGTAAGAAAGTCTTGCGACACTCTTTCTTTACACTGCACACTCATTTTATCGAAGGAGGTCGAGAACATTCTAAAGAGAAAATTGTTTGAACATTGCGGAAGCTTCGTCTTCACATGTATGAAATATAAATATATAAAATGCAATAAGATGTAAAAATTTGTCAAAGCAAATCTTTCAGTGTCGCAAGACTTTCTTGCCAACCCAATAGATGCCGTAATCCCAATGGAGAAGTTATTATTATAAATTTTACGTTTACAGCATGCTATTTTGACGAGTTACAAAAAAGAAAAGAAATTTTTAAAATGACCAATTCAATACTGACCCGATCAGTTAACGAATTTTGAGTTATATTAATTTTGTTATATTTTTACTGCGAAATAAATAGGTTTTAGGATGCAAAAAAAATTTACGTAATCCAAAGTCTGTTGAAATTAAAAACTTTTTTTTTACATGACAATTAAACAATTATACGTCAAGTCGATTTACTTTGCGCTAATAAAAATCAATTCTCGGGGCGACTGTAAAGCAGAATAATAGAAGACTCGATCTTTGAGAAGAATCCCATCTACGCTTTTCATCATCATCGAATGATTAGACCTTGAAATATGAGCATAAGCCTCTGGCAATTCGGAACAATTGAGCCAATTGTAATGTCAGATTCATTAGTAAATTACGAGGGGACTTATAGTGTACGAGAAAGAAAAACTTGAACTGTATCGCTTTTGAGATCCTTTGATTTCATCTTTAGTGGAGCAAAATTAGCACTTTGAACTTATCCTTTCTTTTCCGTAATAATCGCTGCAGTTCTGATTACGATCGGATATGCAATTTAAGTACAGTTTTGTAAAAACAAAAGAGCCTCGCATCCAATCCATTTCACACAGTAATAGTGAAATTAATAAATTTCTTTTTCCACGAGTCTTTTCAGGTTGACTCGAACACTTAACAGATGGTTCAACAAGTTTTTAATTCTTATAAATCGGATATTAATATTTTTATCGGGTTGGACAAGGTACTTATCTTAACGATGATACTTCTATCACGATGTAATTTTAATCTTATCTTGTGATATAAAAAGAGAAACACTTTTCACGCAACACACGCTTTCTTGCCCTACCGAATACTCCATTCATAATTTGATGGTTCCATAAGTTTTTGGAATATGCAAGTCTCGTGATAAAAATTTTTCGTGTATCTTACGGACGAATGCGATGCGTTCTCGTTGTCGTCCTGGTATTTCGTATATTTGCGACGAGGTGTGTTCGAACAGTGGTAACAGAGAGAACGGCGGGCCTAGAGGGGTTAGAGGGAAAACAGGTAACAGTTGGAAGAGGGGTGGAACGAGAACAATGCCGCTCGGCGTGTTCCGGGGACCCAAGGAATTCGACACGCGCGTTCATCTACTATCCCGATGCTACACACCAAGCAGCTCACAAAGCCGCGTTCACATCTCTAGCGAGTTCTTCAAATATTCTGAGTCTTACAAACTCAGAGTTTAATTATTAAAACAAAAAAAAAAAAGTAAGCAGTAACAGTAAGTAACAGTTTTAATCATTTTGAATTTAAAGCCATTTACCAATTTTTATACAATCGTGTACAAAGAATATACAAGTATCACATATTTTTTGTATGTACTTTGATGTATCGTAAAAAAATTGGAAAAATTAACACAACCAGAAACACGTCCCAAACCTGCTCGTCTTAACGTATTAATTTTGCGAAAATGCTAACCAGTTTCATATTCTCGTGTGACAGGTGCATAATATATTTTGTTTTAAGCCAAACGCATGAATCAAAATTTTCATTTCTGATACGATAAGATTATTGGACGAAGAAAATTAATATAAATTAATATAGGTGGACAGAAATATAATTCATTTCGCATAGGCATTATCCTTTGAAAAAAAGAATATGATGAAATTAAGGTTCCCAAATTAAATGATAAAAATTCATTTTTTATATGCATTCGAAAGAATAAAAATAAATTGGGAAAATACCAAGAGTGAAATAAAGTTTTGCGACAGGTCCTAGAGCACACAAGTA